TGTAGGGAATTCTTCCTGACAAATGGAAGGTAAAAGCTTTTCAAAGATCCGCTTTTGATATGCTTCTTAGAGTACCATTATACAAGCATCTTTATGTCGTGCGTCTCTTGACAGCATCCAATTTTAGGTTCCTTGTATTACTGTTGGACAAGTGCTTGTGTTCTTGCTGTTATTCTTTTCGGGTAATCAGTCCTTAAGATGTTACACCAAAAGCCTGTAGAAATCACTGAAGTCATTACATCAGTGTTGAGCCAATTTCTCCCCATGTTTGTAAATGCCTTCTTGAAGACCCAATTTCAGCTATTTTAATGCTTTCTTTTTTGATGATGCCTTTCATATGTACTGACCTTTTCAGAGAAAACCCAAAACTTTAGGTGTTCAGAGAAGTGGTTTGGGTCGAAATGAGAGGATTGTTGCACGCTTAACAGTATTTTCTTGATTTTAGCATGCTTGTTTATTGTCATTTCACTTAAATCTATGTTGAACCATGAGGATATTTAAGAGGGAAGGCATAGGGAGCAGTGGGGCCCAAGTGAGATCTGAATGTAATAAAACTCTGTTAATACATGTAATGTTTTTAGTTAATACCCGTTAAACCTGATTATTCAGGGTTGTTATATTTGTATGAAATACTGTGCAGAATACTTTTTGCAGTGATATTCCAGTTTTTCTGTGCTTACATATAGCAGAGTTTGGTCTTTTGAGATCAAAATGATCTTGTCTCAAACACCAATTTATTGTATGTAGCTCTTTCTGTAAAACCACATAAATTTGACCTCATTTTTCATCTTAAAGATGCTTATTTGCTAAAGAAAAATAAGTCTGGAGAATTAAAAATTTCAAGATCGTGCAACCAGATAGCTTCAAAATTGGGAATAAATTTGGTGGATCTCTAACATTCCACTCGTATATAAAATTCTGAATCATACAAATTGTATAAACTCTTACCCTGAAATATTTGCATCTGTCATCCTGATACTAAATTTTTGTGTTTGATGCCTAGAACAGAATTGGCACTTTGTTTTTGTTCTAAATTCAGTTTTGCGTATTTCAAAAGTACTAAAAACTGCGAGGGTTCCTTTGTGCCCTGGAAATGTTTTTCTTCTCAGATTTGTTACCAGTTTTATGAAGAATAGAGTCCGATAAATCTTTTTAAATAGTTGCATGCTTTTATTTTGAAAGTGGAAATTTTACAACATCTGGATATGAAAAGCTCAGTCAACTCTGCTTAATGTATTCCCGATCTAAAGATTCTCTGAAATCAAAGTAATTCAATCTTGAGAATATCAGAAGGAAGTGCAGCTGGGCACACACGTGTAACTAGGAAGGAACATGAATGGTTGGCTCTGCATAGTTTGTGTTCCTAATAAGAATGTGAAGTAGTGTGAAAAACCTGAACTTTGGGTAGCTTGTCATCAGAGAGTTGAGATCACAGATGAACATATAAAGCGTCCAATGTGTTGCCTCTGGTAGCTGTGTGGAATGAGGATACAGCAGTTATATCAACAGAACAGTGACCTGGTGTGGTAACAGTTGAATTTTCATGGGGGTTAGCCTTAGAAGTCCACTGAATGTGATCAAAGTAGAAATACGTCACACCTGGGGCTGGCACAATTGTTGCTGTTTGCCTATACTGCATTCTTCATATGAACAAGTGGAGACGATGGTGTAAATAAGTCAGTCACTTCCATGATGTTGAGAGGATTTTAGTAATCTCCACAGCTGGGATGTTTTAAAAAATATAGTAAAAAAATGTCTATTTTGTAGTTCTCCTGACTGTGCTCCAGAGCTGTACAAGGAGAAACTAACTGCCTGTCGACAGCTGTTGTGGTTGAGTGTTGTAATACACGCTTTAATTCATTCTAGTTCTACGTAGTACAGCTATGAGAGAAAAGGATCAGAATCAAATTGATCTTAGTACGCATAGTTTTTAGATCAGTCTCCTTTGACTAAGATGCCGGTAGGTGAGCTGCTAGTTTTAGTTGTAGTTCTGTGCAATTAGGATTTTATTCAGGCAAACAACCTTAGGGTCACAATTTCTAAACTGTTATTCAGAGCCCTGCACACAAATCCTCCCACATCTGCTGCTCTGGCACGTGGTAGCTTTAGAATGTTTATGTTAAAAGTATTGAATCTTGGTGCGTTGTGAGTGCAGGGGTTGTTTTTCAGTAGGGACTTGCACAAGCATTGTCAGAATTTTAGCCTTTTTTGAAGACTACTTAGTTTAACTTTTGGAAAACACTGAATTGACTGGAAAGTGTAGTTTAAGGTGGCAGTTACTATGTTCGCAACTGGAAGGGGGGTTGCAAATTTTACTCCTCTGACTGATGGGAGCAAGATACAAGGTTTTAAGCAAATATGAGGTGTGGGAAAAAGTTCTGCAATTGTCTTTTTACCACTTTAGTAAGCAGCAGCTAAGTAACTTCATAGAAAGTGTCTATTTCTGGTGAAGTTGATGACTGTAGACATTTACCTCTGCAGAATATGCTTTAAAAACTGACTTTTTTGTAACTGCTACAGTATGATACTGCACTTTTGTTGTTGCCCAGTACTGTAGCAAATGAGTAGTTAATAGTCATTTATATCTCTCTTAAGCATTAGTATTTACAACTCTATATCCATGATGCTTAATTCTTGTCTCTGGTATTTTCAGACAATTGTATGTGCATATTAAATGCATACTACCTTTTGGTGAAAATTGACCAAGCATGTCTATTTAGAGGATTCTCGTGCCATTTGACTTGTGGCATATGAATTGAGAGCCTATGCTGGGACCCTGCAGTACCTCTGAAAGAGGTCCAAAATTTAATGATGTAGCTTCGTAACAGCAGCTTCTTGAAAGCAAGTAAAATAATTCATACTGAACCAGGTGGTAGGTTTTTCATTTATTTATGTGGCTTGAATAGTAAACTATGTTTAAAGATTTAGGTAGGAGAGCAAGAAAGCCTTGGTTCACTTTGGCATTAACACATTTCTTTCAGGTATTGCATCTGAATTTGGAGTGCGAGGCTATCCAACAATTAAGCTGTAAGTTGATGCTTCTCATTGAATTTCTAACAGTTACCTATCCTGCCACTGATTTCATGACAGTTAAAAAAATAGTCCTTTCTGCTTAAAAATCCCAAACAAACAAACCACAAAAAAGTCCCAAAACCCAAATGAAAAACAAACAAACAAAAACACTCCACCATCTCATTTTGACATTATCTTTGATTTCTATTGGACTGTTTTGCTTTGAAATTCAGTAATATCAAGCATCTTACTTAGAAACAGAATTCTTAAAGGCAGGTTAGTAAATTTGGAATTCATTTAACTGCTGTTTTCTATGCAACTTCATAAAAGTGTGTGCATATAAATATATATTTCAAATACATATATACTAAATTGTTATTATTAAAAGGAATTTCATGCACCAATTGATTTGACCCCTTTAGAGCGATTCAGGCAGTAAGTGCATACCTGAGTCTTACTGTTAATTTTTTGTGAGTTGCTGATTGCATTTTCTTATTTTTAATTACCTCTCTCTTCTCTTCAGTGTACCTGAAAATCTTACGTAAATGACAGTAGTGGTTACTATATAGGGTGAAGTGTGAGAGCAGTTGTTTGACAAGAGAATTATATGTAGATTATTTTCTTCATGTAATTTAAAAAAAAAAAAAATCAATGGAGGACAAATTTTATAGGAAAATACCAGTCCGTAAGGATATTATATGTACTTGCTTGTAACACATATAGTGTATAGTCCAGTACAAGGTCATGTTAAATAAAGACTTAATAATTTAGAGTACTTTTTACTATGAACATACTGGGTTTATTAGCAGGTTATTGTTTAAGCAAATAGTATTCATAATATATAATAAATCTGGTCAAGTTAGTTTCTCAAAAAGGCAGCAGAGATGTTTAGCTCATTAATCTTTACGCCAATAAAGTTCTTCATCCTTATAGAGGCATAGAAAATTGGGTTTGTGATTACTTTTTTCCTGTGAGTTTCCTAAACCTATATGGATTCAAAGAAAGCCTGTTAGAATTAGTAAAACTCACTTGAATATTCTTATAATGCAAGCGTGCTACATCACCTGTCAGCAGAGTACAGTAAACTGACCAACACTTCATGGAATCTTAATTTAATACGTAAATTCAGAAGGTTTTTCAGGTCATTTGATACTTTTCAATTACAAAAAAGCATTAGAGAAGTTTATATATTTGTCTTATACTGCTTTGGGATTAGTCCTTGTAAAAATGCTGAATGTTTGGGATTTGGTTTGGGTGGGTGGGGTTTTTTGTGTGGTCATAAGCAAATGTTCCAAATGATCTGTGTGTTTACAAGGTAAATGACTGCTGTGCACTAGAAAAAAATAGTCGTAAAAGAATGTTAATTATTTTTAAAAGTCAGTAAACCAAATATTGTGTAAATAAGTTTTTACTCCATAATTGTGTTGTATTGCATTATTGAGTTTTAGATTTTGTTCACCACTTCTTTTATCTGACTATTTGAAAAATTACCTTGCTTATTGCCTGCTAAAAGGTGACTGTAATAAACGTGAAGATTGAGTAATTTTACATGTGCAGATATAGTTTGATTTCAATTCTGTTCTTTTTTTGTCTTTCCTATTTATCTAGCTTAAAAGGTGACTTGGCATACAACTATAGAGGACCTAGAACCAAAGATGATATAATTGAATTTGCTAATAGAGTGGCAGGGTAAGTATACTCTTCTGTGAGACTGGTTCTGGTGACTTAAAACTTCTGTAGGATTTTGAGGTGGGCCAAAAATTATCTCTCTTTAAAAAGGAACAAGACACTGACATGAAGTTAAAAACTATATGTACTGTACATGTGGTTACATGTGAGACTGGTGGTGAGTGGCATGGAGGAAGTAAGTAGAGATTGGCTAGACACAATCCCTTCTTTACAGTGCAAGAACTAAGAGCTCTTCAAAGTAGTGGAAACTATGAACAAATGAAACTCATGGAAGCCAGAAACAAGAATATTGACTTAAATGTTGGCTGATAGATAGACATCATTACTAAGGCAGAATCTGTTTAATACTCAAAAGTTATCTTAGAATTACCAGTTTAATATATGCTTATGCATCTGAAATGTTGCAGCAATTGGCAACATAAGGAAATTGCTTTTACGGAATTGTTCATAACAATTTCTGTTGGCTTTTTCCTCCTTCCCTGCAGTGGCCTGTGGCCTCAAAATGTTATAGACAGTAATCTTTGGGGAGCAAAAAGAATCACATTTCTCTACTTCATTCTTAGATATAATTAAGAAGCATTCATATAAGTACATAATATTAATTATTGTTCAGAATTCTGTAGTTTAGGAATATCAGTGATCTCTAATAATTTACCAAAATTTTATAAGATTATTTATTTCTAAGACCACATTTTCTAACTGCTGTGCTTACATTCAGAATTTTATCTCTCAAATGATTGAGAACTTATTGTGGCTGGGAAGACCTTATTGTGGCATTTCACTGTGTAAAGAGGGCTTAGAAGAAAGATGGAGAGACTTTTTATCAGGGCCTGCACTGACAGGGTAAGGGGCAATGGTTTTAAACTGAAAGAGGGTAGATTCAGATTGGACGTAAGGTGGACATTTTTTGCTATAAGGGTGGTAAGACACTGGAACAGGTTGCCCAGAGAAGCTGTGGGTGCCCCATCCCTGGAGGTGTTCAAGGTCAGGTTGGATGGGGCTTTGAGCAACCTGGTCTAGTGAAAGATGTCCCTGCTCATGGCAGGTGGGTTGGACTATATGATCTTTAAGGCCCCTTCCAACCCAATCCAGTCTATGATTCTGTGGTCAGTAAATGGCATGCATGTTTACATCATAGCAGCATTTTGTACTAAGATACTAATTTCAAATTTAAGTGTGCTATTTGAGAAACATGAGTTTATTTTGGGGGGATTTTTAGGTTTTTTGCTTTTAGTTGAAACAATAAATTGAAAAATTAAATTAATTTGCATTGGAGAATTCAGGTTTTTAAAAAAACAACACAAAAAACTTTATGGCATTTTCTTGGGGTTTTTTATTTATTTGGGTTTTGCAGCTTGCAGAAACTGAGATTTTTCTTCTTTCTCTTTTTTCCCTCCTCCCAGACCTCTTATCAGGCCACTTCCTAGCCACCATATGTTCGAGCATGTGCAAAAAAGACATCGTGTACTTTTTGTGTATGTTGGTGGGGAATCTCCTTTAAAGGTTTGAAGCTTGATTAAATAAAGTTACTTCTTTTGGCTATTCACAGATGTATTTTAAAATATCTTCTAAAAGACTGAAGTGCATGATTGTAATAAATTCTCATCTTTTTTTACTTTTATTGAAGTGTTTTTACAATCTTGTCATAACCATATTTTCTAATTACTCTTTGAAGATAAGGTATGTCACAAACCTTTCATTTGAAGCATACTAAAAGTTCAGAAATTAAAAAACATTGTTTGTATTTTTGCAGGAAAAATACATTGAAGTTGCTTCAGAACTAATAGTTTATACATACTTTTTTTCTGCCTCAGAAGATGTGCTGCCTGAGGTAAACTGTTTTGGTTCCTACTACTTCCACAGAAATGGTATAGTTCGTCTCATATGTAATTTTGCTGTTTTGATGACACAGAGATGACTTCTTACAATATATTTGGCCTTGGTAAATTTCAAACTAATTACACTGAAACATTTAAATTTTGAGTCTATATGGGGAAAGAATACAAACCAAGTTTCAGTCTGTCATTGCTCTTTATTGGCCAAATTACTTGTTCACTCATATTAATAAAATTAAACAGTAGATATGCAGAACTCAACGTGGACTATACAACCTCCTCAAGAAGGTAGATACTTTGATTTTTAGCCAATGCAAAGCTCTTGTTGCTCCTGACAGCCCTTTCACCAACCGCTTTTATAACTAGTGTGGGGGTCTATGGCATGGAGTACGATTGGTACCCTAATAATCAGAGAAGCAAGTGAAAAGGTGAGTTATTTTTCACCTCATGCAGTACAGCTGATCAAAACATTAGTTTGCCCAGGGATCAACCAATCCAGTCTACTGGCTGCAGAATTCTCATGTGGCTCTCTGGAAAAGAAGACAAGGAAATTATTTACAGTTAGTCACAAGGGTGGAAAAAGTTGTTACTACTGTTGTTAGTCTAACCATTGTTGTTTATGTGTTGAAGCAAAATCAAGAGACTTTTTCATTTATTGTTATCTCCAAGTGGGAACTAAGTCTACTCCATGCCTGATAACGCATGACTTTGAAATTAGTTTGGGATTAGCAGGGTGAGAACTAGTGTAAGTTATATTTTTTTTTTAGGCACCTGCATTTTCCAACATCATAAGTAGAACAGGCCTCATTATAAATAGTGCATTGTTAGATTTCCAGAAGCCTTGTATCAAAATCTACCTCAATTTGAATATTGCTATTTGCACTTCAGTCCCAGCTGAGCAAGAAAAGTACTGTTCACTCATGCAGTGGAAATAGTGTAAAAGGCTGGAACTCTTTGAGATTCTGTGATCACAGTGATATAAGCAGTGAGCTGTTTTTCCCACCGAATGTAATTTCCCACAAATATCATTTAAACTGAAGTAGTGATGATACGCAATATTGTATGGAGAGAAGCAAAAATGTTATGAAATCAGTGGTTGCTAGTTGTAACAAGGCTTTGCATGACAATATTCACTGTTAGGCTTTGTTTTGTCACCTTACGTAACCTTGTTCCAAGCTTCAGGCATCTTTTGCAAGCCATAAGCTGTACATAGACTGATTTGCCCTTTAAAGATGCTAAACTATGTTTTGGGCAAATAAGAGAATAAAGCATCGTCTAGAATTACCACCCTCTTGCTCATTCATATGAGCTGTTACATTATAAACCTACTGCTTTAACATTTATTTCCAAGAAAGATAATGCAGAATGATTACAGAAGGCATGTCATCTGGAAAAGCACTCATGATACTGTTGTTATGTTTCCCAAACATACCAGTAAATTAGACAATTCAGCCAACATCATCATCAAAACTAAGCTCATGATACAGTCCTTTCTTAACCACAAATGCTATTAGAATTTTAACTTAGAGTGGTAGCAAGCAGTAAGGAGTAGATGCAGTATTTCTTCTGTGGCAGTTTACTGAAAACATGAGCTGAATAAGATTCTTCTAAGTTCCAAGGAAAAGGTTTCTACACCGTGTATTTTTTTTGAGTATGTTGCTGACCATCCTAAATACCATGTTTAGAATGATAATGCAGGCATTCATTGTTCTGTTTGCCTAAATAGGGCTATTTGTAGCTCTGTTTGCTGGAGCTATGTCTTTGTATTCCTATCAGCCTGAACCACAGGAAATAGCCCAGATTCAGTGAGACGTGTTATCAATGTTACTATTTTGCTCTACGATATTAACTGTCCATTTAGTAGAAGTAATGGTATGACAGGTATGCTGACAACAGCACGAACTGGGAACAGAGAGCGTGACTGATAAAACCCTCAAGTTATGATCGCCTGTCTAAAGTTCAGGTCCAACCAATATTCTTCATGCTACTGCAGATACTAGTAAAAATCCTGCTTCATTTACACTTTGTGAGACCTACCTCTCAAAAATGTGTTTATGTTGTGTTACTTTTTAATATGCGGAACCTGATAAATTTATTTTAGTAAATGTAGACAGAAAACATTTAAATGTGCTTTGATATTTTCCCCATGGACTACATTTCCACATTTTAAGATTTTTTTTTTTGTTCGTTTGTTAAAAATCTTTTAATCTTCCATGGATTAATTGAAAACAACCTCTTTCAGTATGTGACATTGCCTGAATTGCCTGCTGTTGTGGTCTTCAAAGATGGAACTTACTTCGTTTATGATGGTAAGTAAAAGTGGACATTACCTTAAGACAAGATATTTAAAGTATATATGGAGAAACTGGAACAGTTGAGATTTTTTTGAAGGTTGTGTTGGGGTGTTGGGTAATTCCCCAATTTTATGACAAATAACAGCTCCTTCATGAAGGAAAAGAGAAAAAACTAATTAGTTCTTATGGAACAAAATGCATTTGAGAAGGAATTGGTTTTAGCAATACTAAAGTAGAAGTGATGACATTTGCTTTGTGTTATCAGTAAGGTGCAGCTTCTAATGTTATTGCTTTGCTGGCATTAATGCACTTATGAAAGTTATCCCTTCACTCACTGTCCAAATTCATCATATACAAAATAGAAGAAAACTCTTGCTGAAGAGGAGTCACACATAAGATAAATTTACAGTTCCAAACAGTTAATCAGATTTTCTCTAAGTGCTCTTCCTGACAGTCAGATCTCTCTCTCTTGAAGTTAACTTGATTTTTTTCAAATGTGTACTCTGCTGAGAGATTGCGTAAAAGAGTCCAGTTTGAGCTTTTTGTGTCTTGGCAATGCAATGCTTTCTTAGTACAGCAAGTCTTCCTTCAACAACTGTGAAGGAAGAGGAAACTGATTCTGCCTTTATTCCCAATATTAAAATTTGGAGGGCCTTAACTGATAGCTTTGAGCATATGTAACTTTCACATTTGTGTTACTTGGATATTGGTAGTAGGAAAGGATCAGACAGCATAACCTCTCCCTGTATAACTGATGGAGTGTACTACGCATACATAGAATGGTTAACCATTCAGTCTGTTTTTCCTTTCCTGAAAGTGTCCCTCACAAAAAGAGGTTACGGAGACGTGGACCGTTGTCACTGGAGCAGTTGATATGCAGTTTTAAGCTGGATAAACTGCTTTAACTGGCTTGTTCAGCGTGTAGATTGTAGAATGGCCACCCGAGACTAGTAGTGTTTCATAACACCACTGACAGCAGTACACTTGCCATTTATATAAAAAGTGTATATCCTTATGTATGGCTATCCATTTATAAGTGCCAGATTATACTCAGACTATACTGTAAAGCCTATGCTTTATAGTCTGTTAGGTGCACGTACACACGCGTACTTATATTGTATATCATGGGTTGGCTTATAGTACGCCACTTATTTACAAAAACATCTACTCTTGATTTAGATTGTTTTAAATGCAAGTTTTTATTTTAAATTGAAAACATATGACTCAGAAGATTATTCTGCTGTTTTAATTTCTGAGGATCAGTAGTACCACAGCAGATACTCCAGATGGGCTGTCAAGGATATTCTTTGTGATTTCATAGAATGGCTGTACTTGTCTTCCTCTTCAGTCTGTTGCCTTACCAATCGTCCTCCAGATAGAAATTGACTCTATAGCCTCCTTGATTTGCATTTGATTATTTTTTTTTTTAACGGGCCTGGAGAAGGAAAGCTTGTCAAAGAGCAACACTTCTGAATTGCTTTTTGCTGTGTGGCCCGCTTGCTTTTTCCACACCTTTCAAAACAAACACAAAACTTGTAATAATCCAGGCTTCTAATACACTTTGTAAAAAGTTTACTCTTTTATAATGTACTAGAAACATTATTGTAAATCAAACAAATTATGAAGACATGGTATAAGAGACTGTATAAGGTTATATGTGCAACTGTTAGGATTGGGCAGAAATTTGAAGAGCTCGCTATAAGAAAAAGGTTTAGCAAAATCCTTGTCTGGTGTTTTGTTTTTCTTCCTCATAGTAGGGGGATGGGATGCAGATCTATGGGAAGCTTCATGCTTGGAATTGCTTGCTACAAACTTAGAGCAATTAATTGGTAACCTGAAGTTACTGATAATTCACTCTATACAATAGGATTTAACACAAATTTATTTAATGTCCATTTATATGTGTGAGTGTATATATGCATCATATATATGTTTATATACATTTTTCTTTCTTACTTGTGATTAAGCTCTAATTCTAATGGTGTTGGTGGTATGTCTTAGAATTTGATTCTTCACGGGTTTAAAATGTCTAGCATCTGAAACCGTAGCCTTCAGTATAACTGATTCTGAATCATATGTAAATATTTGTTCATTTACATTCACAATGCTGTTAATGCATCTACTTTTTCTTGATTTCTTTCTATTTTATTTAAGGACTC